GTCTCCAGTGCCTCACACATGCCAGGAAGGTGTGCTACCACTAGAGACAGGGTTTCCCTGAGTTGCTTAGGGAAGGCTTTGAACTCGCAATCCTCCTGCTTCAGCCTCCCAAGCCATTGGGACAAAGAACTCTTACACTCAATAATAAACTATCAATTAAAAAACTGACAAAAGATATTTCATATACAGACAGCAATTAAGCTTATGAAAATATGTTCAATATCATTTGACATTTTAAAAAGTTACAAATTAAAAACACTGTGATACCACCACATACATTTTAGAGGGGCCAAAGTTGGAAACACTGACAACACCAAATACTCACAAGGACAGGGAACATTGCTGGTATGAATGCAAAATAATACACTTTGGAAGATGATTTTATAGTTTCTTAAAATACTAAACATATTCTTGCTATATGATTTTTGCATGTGTATCCCTTAGTATTTACCCACAAGAGTTGAAAATTTATTTCTACACAAAACCTACACACTAAATGTTCATAGAAACTTTATTCATAAGGGGCAAAACATGGAAGCAACCAAGATGCTGTTCAGTGGTAGCACACCTTCCTGGCATGTGTGAGTGGGTGAATCAGCAAATATGCTATGATATATCATAAATAAAATATTATTTAATTATAAAAAGAAATTAACTATAAAGAATTGAACGACATAAACAACCCTAAATGCGTATTGCTAACTATAAGTGTCCAATCTGAAAAGGCTACTTACTCTATAATTCCTGCTGTATCACATTCTGAAAAGGTGAAAACACAGTAATGCGTTGTGGGTGTAGTTCAGTGATAGAGCACTTAACGAGCATGTATGAGGCTCTGGGCTCCATCCCCAGTACCACCAAGGGAAAAAGAGAAAAGAAAAAAAATAAAGAAAGAAAAATGTTTCCCAGGGTTTTGTCGCAGAAGAGAAAGGGAGCAGTGAACAGGTTAAGCAGGGGATATTTAGGGCTCTGAAACTATTCTGCATGGTAATATGGAGCCATGCCATTATACATTCATCAAACATATAGAATGTGCCATAAAGAGAGTAAACCTAAAAGTAAACCATGGTCTTTAGTTAACAATACTGTATCCATATTGACTCATTAATTATTAAAAATGAACCACATTACCAAGACGTTAATAATAGGGGAGATGAGGGGATATATGAGATCTCTCTGTAATTTTCACTCAATTTTTCCACAAAACTTAAAGTACTCTAAAAATGGACTTTGTCTATTCATTTTACAAAATTAGTCTTTAAATATAAGGGGAGGAAAATCACTGCATAGATTTTTAATAAAAGAGTCATTAATCAAATACAAATAAACTTATGCTACTATTTCTGTTAACAGAGAAAAAGATTACTAGAAAATTCGATTAAGAACACTAAAGACTGTAATTTTATTTAACGTGTTCAAAAGTTCACTTTAAGTTCCTCTGAAAATTTTTCTCACTGAAATGAATAGGGATGGAATTTCCACATTAATTTCCCTCTGCCTAATGCCAAACTCTTGGGGGTGGGAGCTTGAGATAGAATAACAATATTTATTAATTAATTATTGTAAGAGTACCTGGAACCCTTTAAACAGCACCTGAAATAGCAGAGGGTCAATCCAACCAAAAAAGATAAAAATATCCCAATATCAGCCATGATCTCAGCTCCAGATAAGTGACCTACCATCATCATCCTTTCGTTTTCTACTTCATTGAGCAATTCAGCAAACTCCTTGAAGGATTCAGCTGGTAGGAGAGAATAAAAGACAAAGCAAATTAATCATGGTTCTTGGTAGACAAGTGGAAGAGATCTGTCCTACACAAATAGAGATCAGTGCCTTAACTTCACACAACTAGTAGAGGAAGGCATCAAATCTAAGATCGCGAGGAGAATGTCTCCAAGGCTGATTGAATGCTTCTCATTTTTTTTCCTTTTCTCCCCAATCTCCTACTATTATGATTTCAATCTAGAAATGTCCCCCCAAAATCTCATGTTTTAGAAGCTTAATTCCCAATGCATCAAGGTTCAGAGGTAGAGCTTTTAGGCAGTGATTAGGGCTGTAACCATTTGATAGAATAATCATCTGAATGGACAACTAGGTGGTAACTATAGGTAGGTGAGGTTTAGCTGGAGGAAGTAGATCACTGGGGGCAGGATTTTGGGATTTATGGTTTGTCCCTAGAACATTTAGTCTCTCTGCTTCCCAGCTGCCATGAGCTGAGCAGCTTCCCACCACCATATCTCCCACATTCTGCTTCACCTTGGGCCAGAAAAATGGAGTCAACAAACCACAGACTAAACCTCTGAAACCATGAGTGCAAAGTAAATTTTTCCTCCTCTAACTTGTACTTGTCAGGTATTTTCAACACAGAAATAAGCTGATTAATATCCCTTCAAAACTTCTTTAATATTTTATTTATTCATCATAATTCATCCTTAGGAATAGCTAGGAATTCCCTCATTTCATAGACATGCAAAAAGATGTAGGAAGGGGCAATGGGTTTGCTGTATAAAAAATGGCAGCTCTACAATCTCAACACCTGAGCTTGGGTACCTGCTCCACTAGTAACCAACCTAGAACAATTTCTCTTCATTTACCTTTTGTATGTCTTAATTTATTATTTCAGACTAGATATAGAAATGGTTTGCAAAAAGATTTTGCAAAGTGTTGTGTCATTTGTCTTTATTTTAGAAGCACTGTGGTGAAGTAAAAAACACATTTGACTTATTAGCTGTGTAACATTAGAAAAGTTACTTAATCTCTCTGAGATCCATTTTATTTATCTAGAAATAATTCTTGTCTCATAGGGTTGCTATGATGGTTAAATGACATAACACATATATAGTTTCCCAACACACATAGTAACCATTCAATAAATGTTAGTTCTGCTCCTTGTTGGGTCTAAAGCAGTGATACTAGACAATGGTTCATTAGAATCACTTGGGGAGCTTAAAAAATATCAATGTCATGCCCTTTTCTACACAAGTTAAACCCAGATTCACCTCTAAAGGAAAATAGTCAACTGTTTTCCTATATTTATGCTACACTCTGACACCAATGTGTGGGGTTTTCCCTAACATTAAGCAATTCTCAAGCTCTCCAGAAACCAAATGTGTGTCCTAAAATTCAATTATGATACTTATTACCCAGAGTAAGTGCCAACACAACAGCTAAAGGTCTCATCCCCTGAAAACTGCCCCCTCCATTTTCCATGTCAGTCACAAGTTCTAGGACATGAACTGTATACTTCTGACCAACCAGCTATAAATTGGAGGGTTTCATAAACCCCTCCTTGAATTTGATAACCTCCTGGAATGGTTCATTGAACTCAGCAAAATACTAATACAAGCTTGTATTTTAAAGGATACAACTCAGGAACCACCAAACGGAACACATGCATAAGGCAAGGTATGTGGGGTGCACAGTCCCTTCTTCCTAGAAGTGCCACCTCCCAGAATTCCCATGTGTTCATCATTTTGGAATCTCCCAAAACCCCATTGTTTAGTGTTGCTACAGGGGGATTATTATTCATGTCTGACTGGTTGAAGCACAGTCATTTTCCAGGCCCCGTTCCGTCCCTGGATGCTGGAGAGTGGGGTTTAAAGATCTAACCCCTCTAGCCACATGGTTCCTCTGGCAAATCAACCTCCATACTGCAAGAGTCATCTCATCAACATAAACTCAGGAGTGGCTGAAGAAGATTCTGAATATCAAGACAGTTGTCTGACCTCTAGCACTCAGGAAATTCCAAGGGTTTAGGGTCTTTATGGAGGAATCAGTGACAAAGACCAAATATATGCTTATTATACCACAATATCACAACCTGCTAAGTACCAGAATCTTACAGGACTAAACACAACACAATTGCAGGAGGGAACACCCAGGTTTCAAATTGGATATAAAGCTTAACCACCTAGGAGTATATTATTATATTAACACAAAACAATAAAAATGAATGAACAAAACAGTGATAATGAAATCTTGACTATGTTCTCATGGTACAGACAATACTGAGATTCAACTTCTCTCCTGTTCCCTTTCTGCTTTATTTTTGCTATATTTACCCACCTGACCCTGGCCTAATTTTATCAGATTTTAGACATTAGGTCCAAAATCACATGCAACAAGGTAATGCTAGTTCCACAGTAAAAGGGGCAAGTTGTATAGTATTATAAAACCATTCACATAATGCTTCAAACCTTTAGCAATACCTACTATTTGCAGCCATCCAGCCTGCAATCATACAACTTTAGTGATGGTAGTAGTAATCAGCTTGAAGCAGTGTGCACAGGACTATGCCAGTTTTAAAACTAAAAGCTCCACATTCCAGAAAAACTGACAGACTCAGTTTGTCTGGGACTGTTAATCCTCCAAGTAACAAAGCACATGCTTTTTCGTAAGGTAGGTCATTCCATATATTCAGGATGTCTCTATTAAAAACTCTTTCCTTAATAGTAAGCCCAAATCCATCTCTCTGCATTCTAGTTCATATCTACCCAGGTACCTGAAGAAAGATTTTACAGAATTGTAGATAAAGACACACTTTAGAAAAAAAACAATTAGATGGGTAGTAGATGATGAGGATTCTATTTTAGGAGACATCACAGAGAAAGAGGAGGGGCATACATTTTAGAGAGAAATAGATCTAGATTGACAACCTAATTCTATCATCTTCTTGCTGTGTGACATTGGATAAATGATTTGAGCTTCAATTTCCTCACCTGTCAAAAAGACATAATCATACCTGTGCAAGGGTGTTGCTGTAAGAACAAAATTAGTGGTAACTGTGGAGTGTCATTACCTAGTAAACAATACATATTACCCCTTCCGCCCCTCCCCAACCTTCTACCCTTCTAGAGCCAATGTGTGTTCTCTCTCTCTCTCTCTCTCTCTCTCTCTCTCTCTCTCTCTCTCTCTCTCTCACACACACACACACACACACACACACACACTAAGTTAAGCTAAGCAGAACTAAGATAAATAGTCTTTAGTGCCTTTAAGGATCCTTTAAATTCTCCAACTTCCTCCAAATAACATGAAGTATAACACCAAATGGTATTTTAAATACAGAGAACATATGGAAAGCCTAGAAAAACAAATGTGTCCAAGTTAATATTTTTAATTTAAAAAGGCCTTTAAATAGATTTCCCTTCCTATAAGAACTGGAAAACTAGTTCAGCATTCCTGGTATCAAGGAAACTATATTCAGAGCCAATAGAGGACACAACATAATGACATCTCTTTCTTCTTAGGATTAAGTTGTGACATATACTATGGAACATGTGGAAGTTACCTTACAAAATACCACAAATTCATTCAAGGTTCACCCTTAGCATAGAGAAGATAAATACTTTACTCAGAAAGAGTCAATAGGAAAAAATGGAAATGTTCATTGATCTCTTGTCCCCAAATACTTATTGCTACAAAAGAAGTCAGAGAGATTGTTGTTGTTGTTAATGTTCATCCATTTTGAGTAAGTTTTGCATATGGTATGAGGTAGAAATCCAAATTCTTCCTTTCACATGTGTTACCCAGTTGCCCTGGCACTATTTGCAGAACATTTTTTTTCCTCAACTGATCTTAGGACTCTTGTCAAATTCAACTGGCCATAAGTTACAGGATTATTTCTGAACCCTTCACTCTATCCCATTGATCTCTATATCTGGCTTTACGCCAGTAACGCATTATCATAATAACAGCACCTGCATACTGAGTTTTAAAATGAGGAAGTATGAATTATCCAACTTTCTTCTTTTTTCAAGATGGTTTGGCTATTCTGGGTCCCTGGAACTTCCATATGAATTTTACTATAACTTTGAAAATTTCTGGGGAAAAAACTAGCTATGTCTCTCCCAAAGAATATTCCATGTGCACTTGAAAATAACATATTCTTCTTAGGTAGAGTATTCTGCAGGAGTATTCTTCTTCCCCAAGATTTGTTGTTCTTGACATTGCAGATAGCTTAGTGACTTCATAGACTAATATTATATACTGTATATTCATTGTTATATGAAGCTACTGAAGTTTCTGATCAGTTAAACTTTATGGTTAGCAAATAATTAATAATTAGACAGATATTTTTAAATGGTTTGAACCAATAAGTCTGTGAACCTGCTTGAGGGGTTCAGTACTTTGAGGTATGCCTTCAACACTTAGGCAGTTATAACTCTGCCTTAGCCATCAGATCTTTCTTATGAAGAGTATCAAAGTCAGCCAGAATTGTGAGATTAGAGTCTTCTCAGTTATTTTCTAGACAGGTACACATGTTAGGTGTGTGATCTTTTGGATTTCAAGGACAGATCGCAGATTTTCAAAGCTCTCTAAGGCTACTTTATTATTCACTTTTTTTCCTTTTAGATTTATTGTTGAGCTCCCTCTTTGCAATTTTATTCTTTTTGTTCCCTGTGGAAGCAGCAGTACTGCACAATCACTGCTGATTATTTAGAGAAATTCCTTGAAGAAAAAAAAAATTGAAATGAGCAATCTGTGAGTCAGTTCAAATAATACAAGCCCTCTGAGTGATATTTCCCTGCTTTAAGGGAAATTCAAACCCATTCTGCCTTCTCCAATGGCTGCCAGAATTGTGGTTTTCACACTTTCCTTGATTGTGCAGCTGCGAGTTTTCAAAGCTACTGTGGAACAGAAAAAAAGGCAATGGGAATATAGCAAGATAAAATACCACAAAACTCACCTTTCTCCCAATTATTTAGTCATTTTCTTCAATAAACATGCCTTTTATTTTTG